AATATTTTCATGACGAATAGCAGAAACGTAAATAATACACTGAAGTTGTTGTATTTACTGGAGTATTGTTTTTACTGGAAACACAAACCATGTTGAAGTTAATCAGGAAATTTTAAAACTTTCTTTTTATTAAATAATTATAAATTAGTTGTTTAGAATCTAGTTTAGAATCTATATATATATACTATTGTTAAATTTGCATATTAAATTTAAAAAGTAGTGTAATTACATAGTTTATTTAGTAATTAATAAGCGGAAAATACAGTATTATATATTATTCATAATACTATTTTTATGTATTATACATATTACACTATTTTCCCTCTATGTAATACTATTAAAATTTTGTAATATCACTATTTTTCAATCAAGATAAAACTGAGAATAAATATTCCACTTAACAAATTTATGCAATTTTATAGCTAACAAAATTAAAAAAATTTATTTTAACGCTATTAATTAACAAACTCTGAATATTAAAAAATATAAATGCATTTTAAAATTTCTTTGTATACTTTACTATGCATAATACAGTATATAATTGAGTTAAATGAGTATAGTTTTTATTAGCATTTTTATTTTACTTACACTTATTCAACACTAAATTTAAAACAAAAACAATGTTCATTTAAATTTCTACAAAAGATATTTAAAAAAAAATAAAAAGATTTTTAATATAAGGAAATGTCAATACATTTTTGCAAAATATTTTAGTGTCAAGCTATAGTTAAAGGTCCAAGGATAGTTATAGGTTCAAGCTTACATATATTCTCTTTTAGATTATAGGTAGTAAAATTTACATGCATTAAATTTCTTTATTATTTGTTGTTATCAGATTTGCTGAATGACATGTCAAGTGAGAATGATTTTTAATTGATGGAACTAAAGATAATAGCTCCTTTGAGCAGCAACCATATTAATATTTGTAGAAATAAGAAAGAAATGCAACCTTACAGCGGTGGGAAAGAGGTTCAACCCTAACAGATAACAGCGAGTCCAACTGCATTTGCCATGTGTTTTTGGACATTGTCTAGAAGAGAAAGTATCATTAGAAGAACCAGCCCAAATATTTTTCTTTTATTGCTTATTAGGTGCCCCAAGAAGACCTAACAGTCTTGTCACAGAGTACAGCGGAAGTGCATTTAACCAGGAAGTTCACGCCTCCTTCCTTACCGTGACACGAAAGAATGTCCGAGGCTCGTTTCGAACTTGGATCTCTTGCTTATAAAGCAGTATTAGCCTTCATGGATAACTTATAAAGCGGTTAGAAAAAAACGATGTGTACGTCTATGTGTATGTGTGTGTATATATATATGTGTGTATATATATATATATATATATATATATATATATATATATACATATACACATATTTTCATACGGCTACAGTCATGTTATAAAATAGAGTATATGTATTTAAATTTTTTTCAGTGATTGCCTTTATATAAAAAGGTTCATAATTTATTTCAACTGTTTACACTATTTTCATGCCGGTGGAGTTTATCATATTTTTATATTTTTTATTTTATATTTTTAAATTTTTAATTACGCTTTTTTCTATGGAGTTTATCATATTTTTCAAAAATTATTTTATTTTACCAAGCTGCTGCTAGTGTTAAATTAATTTTAATTTTAACACAGTTGGTTACCCTAAGTGCACCCACACACAAAAATTTTGCTTAAGAAAATTTAAACATAGATGAAACATGCAGCTTGTTATTATAACTATATTACTAACATATACTTTTGTCAAATCTTTATTATATACTCAATGGCCCTTAAGTAAAGTAGAGCACATCAACTTAGCATTTTGATATAAAGAAAAAAATTATTTTTACTTTTTTTTTGCATACAAAAACTGTGTGAATTTCACTACAATCAACTGTAATGCAACACTGAATCCAATTTTGTGTTAAGAGTATAACTTTTTAAACTCCAGTTTTTTTTAACTACTATTAAGTGTTTTTTTATGAATTTTTACATTATTTTTCCTGGACATTGTTTTGTGAACTATTTAGATTCATAAATTTTAATGACTTTCTGTTTAACGATATCTTCCAAAGGTTTGCCTTTTTTAGCCTCAAGTTTTAACAAGCATCCCTTTTTTCTTTTTTTTTCAATTTTTAACTTTTTTAACAAGATTTTCCTAAACTGAAAATGTTTTGCAAGTTTTTTCAATTAACTATCAGGAGTTAATGAGTGTAACTGAGCTTTAACTTTCTTGAAATTAAATTTTTTTTTTTGCATCTAACAGTTTGTTTAAATCATTATAGTTAATACACTTTTGCTCGTTTAAACTATGCTGATTGTACCTTATCATCTTTTTAAAAAAATGTAATGTTTAAACAGGCTACTGCAAGCGTTAAATTAAATTTTAATGCATAATTTTATTTTTCACTACAAGTGGTTACCCTAAGCACACAAAAGTAACTAAAAATTGGCCTTTTTTTGTCTGTAGGTATTAAATTGTAGCACATTAAAGTTTTCCAAAATTTTTCTAATATTGTGTTGTTAAGCAATTTTGAGATACAATAACACAAAAACTATTTAAAATTAGTCAAAAATACTTGAAAATATAGATTTTATAAGTATAAAAATGAATATAAAATTTCAGGTAATCACTTTTTATTGAAAAAGTTATGATCTGTCAAAAATCAAAAATATACTAAAATTTTCATGGTTTATCCAATCAAGGTGATATGTTTAGGATTTTATTTTTTCCATAAATCTGTGGGTGTGGAGAGAGTAAAACACTCTCCCATCTTCATGATTTTCTGATTCATACAACTTTTTAAGTTTACTAATCGTTTCCTTGTTCTTTAACTCTTTAACTCTGTTATAATTTTTTTTAGTAACTTCTAACTTAATATTGGTTGCTTGAAGCCTTGATAGTAGTAAATTAAAAAGATTTGTGTCCTGTCAATTTTTAGCATGCATTTTTTCCTTCATTGAGATTAGTTGCTTTTATATAGATGCTAATTAAATCAGCTATAATTAGGTGGAAATATATAGTTATATAATAATAAAAAATTTATTGATTTATTTTTCTTTAAAGTAGTTTTTGTTGATTTATTTTGTAATTTTGTTTTTATTGATTTTTAACAAAGAAATTTTAAAATTATTTTGCTTTTAGAAAATTCTATACTAAATAAATAATAAGTATAGAATTCCAGTCAGATCCAGTTCATGTTGCAGCTAGGTATTGTATCTTTTTTTATTTTGTAATTTCCTTGTTTTTATTATCTTTATATTGTTACTATACATAGATTACAACATTAGTTTCTAATTTATTAGATCTAATACAGGTGTAAATATATTAAAATTTTTTTTGAATAGTTGTAATGAACTACTTCTAATTTGAAGTTATATAGAAAGTAATAAGTTTAATTTTTATTATATTCAGTATTGAGTACAACTTGATAAATTTTTTTAAATTTTACTCAAAAGTCATTTATATGGAAAACATTAACATGCCTTGTAACCTGCATCAAAGGTTAAAAATGTGAATCCAGTAACTTTCAATTCTAATAGTGGTTGCTTGCAGCCTTTTTGGAAGTAAAGATATTTATAAATAAAATAAAAAAAAGGTAGAATACAGTTAAGTTTAGGAATTAACAAAAATAAGAAAATTTAAAATTTTTTTCTTAATTTCCTTAAAGATTATTCTTTGTTCCTTTGAGTTTCAGCACTTTATATTGAAGATTCATTTTCAGCAATTTATATTGAAGATCGTTTTCAGATATTATAATTTTAAAGGTTTTTAAGAAATTTTGTTTTTTCATAAAATGCCATTATCAAAGAAATATATTCTAATTTAAAAAAAAAAAAGTTTACAAAGCTTCAATATATGAGTGATTTGGCTTATGCTGAAGTAGGAAAAAAGCTTATGCTCATTTAATGAAAAGGTGTTTTATATTTTAACTTGAACACCAGTTTGAAAAAGTAAATTTTAAAAGAGTAGTTAGAAAATCATTTAAATGAAGTTTACTTAGAAGTTATCAAAGTAAAATGTATAAAACTTTTAAAAATAAAAGATTATTTAGAATTAGAAAGTCATTTATAGAAGATACACAATTTTTTGCTTTATTTCTATCATAATTGATAAACTTGTAACATTTTATAATGCAAAATCAGAAATATGTTAAACTTGTATAAATGAAATAAAATAAAAATTTTATTTAAAACAAATTTAATTGTGAACACATTTTTTCATGACCATATTATCGTTTTTTTATAAAATTCATAAGTATATTATATATAATAACATGTTTTCATGTTCTGATTTATTAGTGATGTTTCATTGGATCATCATTTTGCTATGAATTAAATTATTGTGGATGGTAAACGATTTTATGCCTCTTTGCTCTTTATGGTATTGAATCAGGCACTGAATTGCACTATGATTATCATGATAATAAAAGTGTATGGTGGAGAAAGCAGGTATTTTTCAGTGGTATAACTTATAGTAATGAGAATATATCAATAATAATTAATTAAAAATGTGATCAGGGGCAAATCCAGATATATTTTAGTACTGCTAGTGTGTGCTTATAATAAAGTGTTAAAAAAAAAGTATTAGGTTGCTTAAATGCAATACTTCTGAATATTTCTGATTAATATCATTTCTAATATCATTTTAGACATTTGAAATCGAATCTTAAATATGTTGAATGCTGGTAAGAATGGTCAAGAATCTTCCCTATTATCAATGAAGAAAAGAATTATATAAATTTTTTAACTGCTTCAAGCTGGAATTTGAGCAAAAATTTGGGAACCCATCTGCTATATTAGTGTCAAAATAGGCCTGTTTAGGCCCTGAATATGTCATAAAGAGGGTTTAACTTCTTGTAAAACTAAACTATATATATACATAAATAAAATTTATAAAATGATATTACTTAATAATCTCTGGGATCTTTATTTATGATATACTTTATCTAAATATAACAAATAACAACTGAAATATTTTGAGTTTTTCTTACAGGTTGCTAACCAGAAACCTGTTATACTTTCTGTTATTTTATCTAAAAATTTATTTTTTAAATCAAGTTTTTTAGAATTTAATCTGTTTTATTAAACAATATTGCAGTGCTTAATTAAACTTTCTTCATTAAGGTTGAAAAAAATTTTTTTTTAATTTTTTTCTGTTTAGTAATGAAAAAGATCATTAAAAACAATTAAGATCAACTTAAAAAAAAAATTATTTAGCACAAAATGTATAAAACATCCTTATACCTTCCTAATTTTTAATAAAAATCTAACAAAACATATGGGCGATTTATTTGTTTGTCTAACTTGCTTATACTTTCCTACTTTTTTTTCCAATATTTTTACTCAACATGCAATAAAATGTTTGTAAGTTGCTTTATTTGTAAGTTGCTTAGTAAAATAATAATGTATTTGTTTATGTTTTGGCGTTTCATTTCAGTTGTAGTTGATACACTGCAGTTCTCTTGCAAGCTGAGTTTTCCAACTTTGCAGCTGATGCGCAGAGCTTCTATTACATCATCAATATAATCATAATTGCCATCATCATCATCATCATAGTTCTCAATAATTTTCTTAACTTGTAGAAACTCTACTCTGATGTGTTTGCCTTATATGCTACACTAGCTAGTTTAGATGTATCTATGGTAACAATATGTTATAATATAATAATTGTATTTATCTTAGCAAAATGTTAACAACCTATTATCATAAATATTGTTACAACAACATAGATTATCAAAAAATGTTATCAAAACATCATTTATGTTATCTAAGGTACAAAGTTAACTTTTACCTTGAAAAAGCCATCTATTTTTTTCATGCTATTCCAAGTTAATTTATGTTTTTTGTTCATGTTATTTTATTCTGTTTGAGATCCATTCCAGTTTTTCAATACTGAAGTCTAATTTATTATTAAGTTATTTATTACTTATTGTTAGGTATTGTTTCTTTCGTCTGCAAACAAGCATAAAGTAAAGTTTAATCAAACAAAAAACATCTGTATAAAGTAACTCCTGTTGTAAAATAACAGTGAATTCTTTTTAGATAGAGCTCCTAAAACAAAAGTAACAAGAAAAAGACTAAGCACTAAACCCTGATGAACACCATCTTTATTTTACTTATTATACTATCATTTCCTCCATTATTTGTTTTAAATTGTACCTCTTTTAATGCTTTTGACAGCTTTTTTAAGATAAAAAAAATCATACACAGCTATTTCTATTCTGAAAATCTTTTTTAAACTTACAAGAAATAATTCTTCTCTTAAAAATTAATTAAACATAGAATCTAGTTCTTCCTGCTTTATGGAAGTAAATGCATATTTGAATACTAAAAGTGTTTGGAATGTTTTAATGTGCAGTTGAAGGTAGAATATATTTTGTTATAGTAAATTAACAAAAAAACTTTCTTCGTTAATATATTTTATATTATTTTATTTATATTTCTAAATCTTTTTATACTATAGGAAAATACTAAAATACTTCTGAAATACATCAGGTATAAACTTAAGTAAATATTTTGTTCAAATAAAATATTTGAATTATTTTTAAAAATTCCTAATATAAAAAAATTAAAAAAACAAAATTACTGGTAAAAAAAATTTTCTTTAGAAACTTAGTCTGATAATGAGTTAAATTTATTACCAGTAATAAAGATGTTGAAAATATAAATAAGATTTCTTTATTTTTTACTTTTACTTTTTGTATGTATAATTTTTATAGCTTTAAGTGTTTAAGTTTTTTTTATCAGTTGTTAATTAAAACTTATCATGAAAGGTCATAAGACAAACTATATCTGAATGTGTTAGCCAGACTGTAAGCACTGTGTATAATGCAGACTTCATCAGTTTACCAATATAAACATATTGGTGAACTGATGTATTTTTATTTCCATTAAACTTTAAAAAAACATTTTTTTAAATGTACTTAAATATAAAAATCAATTTTTTTTTTTAATTTTTTAAGCTCTCTAAATGTAAATTGGATCTATTTTAATGTTTGGATTTTTATAGAATAGTTTTTAACATTAAATATTTATTTTTCAATATTTTTGCAATTTATTTTTAGCACATACTTGTGCAATATTATTGGCCTTTACTTAAAGCAAATGTTTTTACCAATTTTTTAAAATTTATAAATTTTTTATTATTAAAAATGTTGCGATTGTTTAAAAACTTTTTAGACTTTTTCAAATTGCAGGAAACACAAGTTCAAACAGGTATAAGTTTTATAACTTTTATAACTTTTTTTAAACTCTATACAGTATAAGTTTTACTAGAAATTATTACAAAAGCATTTATTTAAAGCATATTCTGAAATGAGTCTGCTTGGTTGCCCAGTATTTCAGCTGACAAGAAAATATTAGTTAAAGTGGTTTAAGGTTTTTTTACTTTTATTTAGATGACTGCCTGTAACAGATTTTTTACCAGTTTTGCTGTTAACCTATTTTTGATGATGGCATAGCCTAATTTTTAAACTGATCAGGAATATCTAGTGCACTGATTGTAATAAC